TACATTCTATTGAAAGGATAATTCTTTCAGTTTCAATTGTTTTCGAAATTTCAACATTTCATCAATATTCTTCAAACGTAATGCTTCTTCCATGGACAGTAGCATTATGGAATGGTCAGATTTTGTAGTTAAAGGACCATTCTGTATTGCTGATATGGTAGACTGTAACGATTCTGATGCCGTATCACAAACTTGAAATAGAGGCACCGTCCAGAGACTATCCTCAGGGGTTCTCGTTTTGATGGTATGAGAAAACCATTGCAAGGTGCAGTTGGATCCAGAGGTTTGCTTCAAGTTATCGTGAATCGAAAACGCAATAGTAACATGATGAAAACGATTCAGATGACTTTGATTTATATCATTCGCTTGGTCGAACGATAAGCGAGTCTGATCCTGATTCAAAATTATGGTCGTTAGACAAATCCCATCAGGTGCCACAACGTGACGATCACTCGAACACGAGCTTATCAAGCAACTGTTACCGATTTTAGCTCCGCGGTTGAACTCGCAGAATTCCACAGTAGATTTTTCACCGATCTGAAATGAAAATTTTTTGTTTAACAAATGTTCCTATCGTAATTAAGCGTTTTGGAAATCGTCGTATGTGGGCGATAAAACTGATAATCGTCAGCTGAAGAATTAGCACGGATTACCTCAGATCAACATTTCAATTGAAAAGTTTGCTGTTGATTCGAACGAAATGATCTCATATCGACATATTCTCACAGATCATTCTTACATATCAATTATACCAAATATATTTGGTGTATTCCAAGCGACTATTTCACATGGAAAAAGAGAACTACGGACTGAAGTGTCAAATTTCTTAGAAAAAATAAAATAATCATAGGGATATCACCTCGACTTGAGATCCATCAAGAACTGAGTACAGGCATTTATGAGGGTCAGTTATCTGAAACCGATTCAAGAACACTGATGCGACAGCGAAATGGTTTAGCAGCTCTGGAATGGTACCAAAATGGAAGAATGAATTCCTCGGCAGTTGGACCACTTCAGTGGTTTTACCTCTGAAATTTTTCAGTTTGTGAATTTGTGAACTGATACATCTTTGCATATCAAATCAACTTCCTCTGTTTCCGAGTTCGGTTTATACAAATAACTTGGTCACAATCTCAAACAAAAAGCTATAAAACTAAATAAAATCCAGCTTTCTACGTATATTTTTATAAGGGATTACAGAAGGTGGAATTTTTCACAAGAATGCATTTAAGTCATTTATTGTATCGTACTTTAAGTTTTAAATATTGAAAGAAATTTCCCAAAAATCAACAAACACAATTGATCTAATAAACAGATCAAAAGATTAAATTTACTCTGATCGTAGTGGCACTATTATTCAATCTGATTCAAATAAAAGCAAGAACATCCCCTAGTTTATGTTTCTCAAATCTTTTATTTCACTTGATATCCAATAACTCATCACAGGAGTCGAAAAATGATATAAGACACAAAAAACATTCAGTTGTACGAACTAACCTGAATAAATCAGCGAACGTTTTTCTGGCAAGTGCTAAACGTTCATCACTACATTGCAAATAATCCCACAATGGTGACTCTCCCAAAGGTCTTAAGTAATCACCGTAACAACACGTTTCACATTCGATTGTTACACTCGTTTTGTGCAATAGCTTGATGAGGCTATCAGCAATATTCATCGATATTATGTAGAAACTATCTGTCAGCGCCAATTCCTCACAGTTCAGCTTCTCGCACTGTTTACCGATTAATTCATCGGTATGATCTAAGAAAATCATGATAGAAATAATTTCATAGTGTATTTAGCGGGTA